GAGGAAAATATAAAAATTCAGAGCATAACAATTTACACTAGCTGTGTGTGTTTGATGGAAATATTTATTTAGTTTTTACTTCATCTAGGATTTCTCAGAAAAACAGACCTGCGTACAGCATTCCTAAAAAACAAAAATTGCTATAATAACCAATTGGTCAAAAGAGGACAATGTTCAGACAATAACTTTTATCCTAATAAAAATAAAATTAGGTTGCACCCTTTGCGAAAGTTTCTAAGTTAATCATATTAAGCAAACATGATCCTGATAAAAACATCAACAAAACTGCATAAGAATGATGAATTTAATTATTTATAAATGTATACATTAACCCCTCTATGTAAATTATTGAATTTTACAGATAAGCAGATAGTGAAAGAATATTACACCTAAACCAGCTATTTCAGAAATTCAAGGAGAGTTGGTATTAGTTATTTACTTAGTCAATAATATCATTCATCACCTGCTTAAGGTGAAAAAATATATGCATGATCACCTCCCTTTTTCTGCCTTACTGAAAATTGAGCTCAGGAGTCACATGTGCTAGGCAAGTAATCCACAACTGAGCTACATCTCCAGCCCTTTCAAGCTTTTTTTATAATTTTGAGACAGGGTCTCACACCTCCAACCTAACCTACACAAGTAAGCATACTATAAATTTAAATACCTTAACAGGATAGAAAGAAACTATCTTTTAGAAAACAGGAATATATTTTCTCAGTATGATGAGGAATATTTTTCTTAAGTGAAGCACCTGCATCATATTTGGGTAGAATATTTGAGATATTCATATTCAAATCAGGAATAAAATAGGAAGCTGATTATTCTTAGTTAACATTTTTTAGAAGGGTGAATCAATGAAAAATATTGTAACAGATATAGGTCCTGGTAAGAAAAACACAATTATAATTATTTAAAAATAATATCATTGTAACTATAAAAGTAACTGAAATAATCAATTAAAAACTTATGGGAGTAAAATAAAAGGGGTTGGACAATAAATATGTACTAAACATATTTCACCAATGATGACCAGTTAGAAAATGTACTATGTTGAAACAAAAATGTAACATTTATTATTGGAATAAAAATATGTGATATATAGGAATAATTTTCAAGTCAAAATGTATGATTTGATAATACTGAGATAGTTTATTGTATGACATAAAATGTTTGAGAAGAGTATCATATTCCTTTCTTGAGGAATATGTTGTCCTGTGTTTACATTGTTCCATTGTCCTAAACTGAACAATGCAAACGCAGCAGTCTTTACAAATAGGCTTAACGTAACTCCAATCAAAATTCTAGTAACATTTTTTGGGAGAAGTGATTGAAATAGCGAATAAAAATGTCAGCTGAAAGAACATATGAGCATCTATTTAAGGAAATGAGCAAAAAAGAATGATAAAGGGCCTTGCTTTACCACATACTACAATTTAATCTAAAAAGAAGGTAAGCAAAACATTGTAACAAAACTTAAAGGTAAGTAGAACAGAATAGATCATCTTTAAATGTTTGACTATGGATAAAATAAATTTGTGTTTACTCTGATCCCATAATGTATTGAGGAAAAAAGAAATATCAATAACCCTTTCTTTACAGTAATGTCCATATGAAGATAGATTATTTCCCCACACCATAATAAATTTGAGGCAGATTAAAAGATATGTTTAAAATTAAATCATGGGAGTTGGAGGAAATATCATGGGCTCCTAGCAGACATCTGGGAGTCCTGTTCTTCCTGACAGTGTGATTCCTGCGGCAATGCAAATGGCTGCACGAATTGAGTCTGGGAACAATCCTGGGTAAACTTCAGGATAATGGGGAGAAAGAAGCAATGGATGGGAAGAAAAAAACACAGAGTTGGAAAATCCTCAATGTGGCATAGCCAGAGTAGCAAACTAAATACCATTTCAAGAGGAATGTGGAGATCCTCAGCATCAACTGCTGTTGACAGGTGAAGTAAGACACAGCCTGGCTGAGCACTGGTTTTAGCTCTGGTTTAGTGGTGGAAGGGAAAGCCTGGTTTTAGTAACTAAAGAGACATGGACGGAGAGGAGCTACGGACAGAGTACAGTCAACTCTGACGGAAGGAGGAGGAGGAAGTGGTAGCTAGAAGTGAAATGGAGTCACAAAGGTTTGGTTTTTGGTTTAAGGGGACACGCTGGAGGGAGAGGAGGTTACCCAGAGTGGCGGACTTGAGTGGCAGGGAGGATGAGATCTAGAAAGTCTCTGAAGACTTGGTCTTTTCTAGAAAGAACAATTCATCCAAAGTAATGAAACATAGCATTAAAGGGGACAGATTCAGGAAGGTGGGTACCTGAGGCAGTGGGGGTTTGTGTGCCCCACTTCTCATTGCTTTCAATTTATCAACGAAATAGGAAACAACACCAACAATTGAGTGGGAGGAGGATGGGAAGAGGCAGGCGGGGAGGTTTGGGGCTGAAGAGGGAGGGGAAATTATACAACAGTCATCCAGAAATGTCTGGGAGGAAATCGCCCAGAGATAACACCAGGATTGAGAGCACAGAGGATGCACTTGAAGAGAAATGATCACAGATTTGAGGCGAGAGTAGGAGGCACAGTTGTCTTTCTATAGCAACATTTGGTTTAGAGGTGTAAGTGTGGAGAACTGGGAGAACAGGGCTTAAGCACCGAGGGGTAAACTGAGTGGGAATGTGTGAGGGGAAGCAAGGGGAATGAGCATGTGAGGCGGGGATGCTAAGCTGGTTTAGAAGGGAGGGCATGAGAGATAAGGCACAAGTGTGAGCATCGGAGGTAAGATTAAAAGTGTTGAAGTTTAAAGACAACAAATGGCAGTCAAAGAATAAGACTCAGGATGGAGGCACAAGACACTAGAGTGTCTATGGAAGAATTAAATTTTATGGATATTAAGATGACCAAGGATTATGTTAGCAGTGGTGCTGGACAGAATGGAAATGATACAGGGGAAGTCTCCAGGGAAGAAGATGCATGATGCAAGGGTTAGTAGGTGACCTTAATAAGCAGATGCAGTGGAAAAATAGATGGGGGTGTGAGACTCAAAGGTGGTGCTGCGGAGGAGAAAAGGAAGAGGACACAGGACTGGCACAGGGGGTTAGGGACATCCGTCCTCCCTTCAGGTTTAGGGGAATGAAGAGTCACAGAAAACAGTGCTTACCACAGACAGAGACATGGGCAGCAGCCTGCAGGCAGAAGGCCAGGTTTCAATTAGGAAAGATGAAGAGAACATTAAGGGAACTAGGAACTGGGTAGGGGATTTTGCTGATGACTGACCACAAGGTCCACCACAGGGTTGGTGAAAGGGTTTCAGGGATAACTAAAGGAGGAAATAGGCAGGAAATGGGGAGAGGAGAGTACAGAGATGGGGAGCAGCGTCTAGGTATGAGCAGAAACTCAGGAAACTGGAATTCCTTATGGTGATGTAAATACTAAGTGCAAAGGACATGAGAATTCTGATCTTTCCAAGGCAGATAGTGGATGGACACAGTGCAGGGTGCCAGAGAGGAGATAACAAGTTAAGAGCAGCCTCAAATATAGGGGGAATGGTTAAATGACGAGATTTCTAATAAAAGATTTTAAAGAATATCTAACACTGGTCATTTGAGTTAAAACAACACTGAGATTTTATCTCACTTCAGAAAGAAGGGCTATCATCAAGAAATCAACCAATAACAAATGCTATGGGGAAAAAGGATCCCTTCTCCATTGTTGGTGGGAGTGTAAACTGGTATAAGCACTATGGAAATCAGTATGAAGATTCCTTTAAAAACCCAAACTAGAGGTCTCATTTGACCCAGCTGTGCCCAAAAGAGTTAAAAGCATCATACCACAATGATATATGCACACTATTTTTATAGCAGCATAATTTATAATAGCTAAATCTTGGAAATAGCCCACATGCCCATCAATGGTTGAATGGATAAAGAAAATGTATTTATATACAATGGAGTACTATTCTGCCATAAAGAAGGATAAACCTGAATCATTTTTAGATCAATGGATGCGTCTCAAGACCATAATATCAAGTGAAATAAATCAGACACGTTTCAATATCGTATTGTTTCTCTTGTATGACAAACCCAAAGGGTAAATAAGCACAGTGCAGGATAGATGTTGGGAAGATGGAAGAACATGTTCAAATGGGAGGGAGAGGGAGAGGGGAAGGAATGGAAAATGGATTTTAAAAAAAAGAGAACTGAAGGGAAAAAATGGAAAGGAGAAGAAAGATTTTTGTCTGTTTGTTTGGGGTTTTTTTGGTACTGGGGATCAAACCTGGGTCCTCACGCTTGCAGGGCAGGTGATGGAACCACTGAGCTAAATCCCCAGCCCTGAGAAGAAAGGTTTTGTAAATGGGGAGAAGAAAGATTGAAGGGTGGGGAGGGAAATGGGGAAAAAAGATGAAATGAGTCATATTACGTACAGGTACAAATTTCCTATGATGGATGATCATTACATATGGCAAATATGGTATGTACTAGTAAAAATACATTTTAAAACGAGTACTTAGAACAAATATGCTCTGATAAGCAAACGTAAAAGGCAGAACATAAGACTGCACCCATGGTCAGTATGATGTAAGTCTTATTTGTAAACACGTATATAAAATCGGGAGGAAGTACCTAAAATATTTCATTTTTATTTAGGTTGAATTCTAGGTATGACGTTTATTTTTTCTTAATAGTTTTCTATAATTCCGAAATTTTTTATAGAAAGCAACTTTTGTTCCTAACTAGAAAAGAAAACCTCGCATCATTTTTAGACAGCGCCTCTGGTGCTCGCCTAAGGGGCTGCTATTCTATTTCTGGATGAAACAGTGGTATTTCCAGCGGTCTTATTTCTTCTTTTTAAAGTGTAGCACACGAGGGCGTCTTCCTCCCGCGTCTGCTGTATTTCACACAGAGTTACGTCCCCGGAAGAGGAGCCGGACGCTGTGCACGGTGTGTGTTTGTGCAAAGAGAAACCAGCGCGCGGACCTGTCCAAGGACATCAGCACCCACCTGGCACAGGGCAGTCTCAGGGTCACAGCGGTCGCTGTGTCCGTGGCACTGGCAGGGAACACAGGCGCCCAGGGCGGGTCCCGGGGTGCGGCCAGCTGCTTCAGGACGCAGGCGGTAAAATCCTGGGGAGCAGGTCTGCAAGAAGGAAAGCCAATTGGGACAGCCGAGTTAGGAATCGGATTTTAGCAACGCTTCAGTCTTCACTGGTTATGAAGACGGACTTTGCTCCATGTGTGTTAGGGGCAGCGCCACTTACAGACGAAAGTGCCAATTTCGATGCCTCAGATACGTCTCTGCCCGCCTCATTTTGCCCACAGATGCAAGCAGCCTCCCCATGGTCAAATTTTAGCCAAGGAAAGCTTTTATTTGCATCCACAGCTCTTAGCTGGAAAAAGCCTCAAATAGTCTTTTTTTTTAAAACTTGAGAAAGGAGTTTATTTTTAACTAACACTTTCATATGGACTAAAGAGATAGTTCCAATGTCCCTGACAACCTAAAATCTACTCCTGTGCCTGATGGAGAACTAGCAAATGTCCGATGAAACACGGCAAAAAATTAAATAAATGAATACATATCATGGATGCATTATTTATATCAATATAATTTAAAGACTATAAAAGGAAGAAATTCAAAACAGTAAAAGCTCTACATGTCTTAGGCCCATTAGGCCATCAATAAGATTGATCTTTCCTGATCTATTTTTCTTTCAGTTTTGCAATAAAAATCAGAAAGCCAACAGAAAATTACTGGTGAAGCTGACATACACAAAATGAAGACTTTCATTTTCATTCCGGTTTATTATGGAAATGTACCAGGAAGTGTCTGGCTTTCCAGGAGGAAGGCCACAGAACTCCAGGGAGCAGTACTGTGAGCACATTCAGCTTGTTCTAGGTCATCGAACATTGCTCCATTTCTCCTCAGGAGGTGGGAATCAGCCTTTCAGACCCCACTGAAAATCACCTTGGCAAAGTAGGACATTTTTCTCACTTAAAAATCATGCTAGTACTGATGAAAGGAAAACGACACTGGACAAGCAGGGGAAGCAATGTTGGACACAAACTTCCTACGGCGTCCGTTGTCTTCTGTCTCTGGCCTAAGAGTAGAGTGGAAGTACTTTAGAAAGAAAGAGATCAATAGTTGGCACTCTCCCCTTATTTATTTTGATTTGGATAATGGGTACTTCAATTAAGCATTTAATTAAGTGTTTCTCTCCTCTTATCAGCCTGTAAGAAATTCTAATGAGACTTAATAATGTCCCAGCTTTGAGCAAACCAATAAAAGAAAACAGAGTAGTATTCAAAATATCTTATGCTTCATTTGTCTTGTGGTGGCCATAATCACATACTTTAATGAAGTTTACTCATAGTATTTAAAATCAAGTTTCATTTTTACCATTCTCATAAAATAATAGAAATTATAGTTGAATTCCTTTAACCATAACTGGAAAAAAAAACAACAATCAAAGGTGTATTTAAAATTGACTTGCAGTATGCGTTGTTCCAGTTTGTTAATGGGCTGACTATTGAATAAAATTGAATTTTATTGACATAGATTGTACTCTTAAATATCTTTCTATTATGATTATATTGGTGCATTTCCTTGAGGTCTGTATGTTTGTGTCACACACAAATGTGTCAAATCACACAATTTAAAAGGAAGTTCCTAGCTCCATTTTACATCTCAAACAAAAGTTTAAATCAAGTCCTAGAAGAATAAAGTTGAGAAATGATACTCTCCATAGAGGAATGGCGCGAAGTTTAATGTTAAGGACTGAAAGAAGCAAGCGCGCACTAAGATGGTGTCTCCTGCGGTGCACAGCATGGCTTCCTCTCGCGTGGCTCTTCCCTGGAGGGCAGCTTGGAGCGGGAGAAAGCAGGCGGAGAGGTGTCTGTGGCCTGCTGTCCTTCCAGTCGAGCTCAGTGCAGACCTTTCTGCCTTTCCTTGCGGTTCTCATGGCTATCTGGGGAGCTGTTAAACATACAGATGCCTGCGAGCCTCTACCGGGAGAGATCCCAATTAATTGGTAGAGTGGGGTCAGGATTTGTTTCAAATCTCCTGGGAGGATCCAGTGAGGAGTCAGGGTAGAGATTCCCTGGCTTCTCAACCCGGGCGGTGAATGCATGCTTGTAAAAGGCAGACCAGCTCCTGGGTGGGGCACTCACTGAATGCGGAAGCCGTGGTTTTAAAAGTTGTTTGAAGGATGGGGCAAGTTATTGTTTTGCGGTGCAGTTTCCTCATCCCATGAATGAGAAAGAGCAGTAACTGATGATTTCTTGTTTCTTTCTAAGATTTGTTCTGGTGCATGGCGTTTCTCAGGGTTAGTAAAGAAAAAGAGACTTCCATAATGTAAGAATTAGAAATTTGAAACACTTAAAAAAAATACCCCTCCAAAACTATGAGCTACTCATTTCTTTTTAATACCTTTTTTTTTGGATTTTGTTATATTCTTTGCTTTTTAAAATTTTTGAAAGTGTTTTTTTAATATCACAATTTCCCTCTTTCAGTGAACTGGAGCAAAATTCATAAGAACAATTATGTTTGAATTGGAATTTAAAAAGCAACTTAAAAAATCTCATTTAAAATTCTTTCTGGAACATTATGGAGGATGAAAGAAAAAATAAATAATCCTTTTCTGAGTTCATTTCATCCATTTTTTTCTTTAACTCTGACTTTTCCAAAGTTCTCTTCCCATGTACTAAAATTATGCATAGCTCAATTTTCCTCTGCTCTCCTTCTGTCTTTAACTTACTTTCATAATACGATGTCTCTTTGAAAGACAGGGAGGGTAGAAATGGGAGAATGAAAGGCGAATGGAAAGTGGCCTACTCTGGTGAGGAGCTGCAGGGCCCCCTCATTTCTCAGAGTGCAGCAGTAGGAACAGAACCTACGCAGGAGCCAAGGAAAAGAGTGGTTTGCATCTTCTCATGGGTTTTGCACTCAGGTAAAGTGACTATAGCTCTTGCTCCACCACTTACTACACACACTTTCTGCAGGTTTTGAATATTGTAGCCCTGCTGTCCTCACTTGGAACACAGGGATCATGAATAACATAATAATTGAGCCTAAATTCATCTGTATTTTGGAAACAGATTTCTCTGTCAGATTGTAGTTTTGTTGCTGCCTGGCTGTGTGGTCACAGGCAAATTCTTTAGCCTCAATTTCCTCTTCTGTGAAATAGAGATCATAGGTCATATTCAATGCTGACAGTGTATTAGAAAATATGCTTGAGATTGTTCCAGGTACAGCAAGCACTCAATAAAGAAGTTTTGTTTTGGTATAGGGCTTGTCGTGAGGATTAAATGACATATTTAATGCTCGGCATACAACAAAGTAACATAGATTTCTCTATCCAAGATTATGTTTAGATATAGTTGCTGAGGATAAACTAAAGTAAAAGCAGCTATGATTGTTCCAAATTGTACTGAGAAGGAAAATTATATTGTATGCCACTTACCCATATCATGTTCCTCGATATGTGCACATACAGTCAATGTGCCACATAACAATATTTCAGTCACCCGTAGACTTTATATATGATAGTGAATCCGTAAGGTTATATTGCTTGGTGATGGCTCAGCCAGCTTAGTTTGGGCGAATCCATCCTATGATGTTTACATAATGATATCGCTGCCTAATGACACAGTTTAACAGTGTGCAATAATACATGGACTCAGTTTTTTGGTCTCCTAGGTGCAACCAAAGCAAAAAAGGATAACTGAAAGATAAGCATGTGTAAGAGAACAAATCGATTTGCACATTCTGCCTTTGGATTTTATGGCTTGATAATAGGTATAAATTAGGGATTTAAAAAATTTTAATTTTCTGATTTTTTTTAGAAATTAGAAGATGGCAGGTTTTGAGTGGTGACCCAAGAGATACCAGCCATTCAACTGTGACCCTGAAGCCCTACTAACATATGGGAGGAGGCTGCAACTATCAGAACATGGCCTAGAGATCACTGCTGAATTTCTGATATCCACAGTATTGCTGCAGAGAAGTGCAAGGCTGAGTATCTTCCATTGTTAAGAAAGAAAGTCATACATATGAATGGGGTCTGCAGACAATCTAAAACTGAAGTTAAACCTACCCAACTCGATGTAAAGGGCAGGTTAACTGAGTAAACTCCACGGCTGCAACAGCAACAAATCTAGTGAGGAAACAGTGTCCTTTACTTGACTTCTAAAGTAATCTTGTCTCTACTTCAAAGCATAAATTGCAATAATTAGGCATTTCTAGAACCAACATTTTTAAAGAACAAAGCTATAATGTCACAACACTCTAGGTAACAGTCAAAGGCTAAGTGTCTTTATAACAGGCTATATTTTTAGTGGCAACCCATACTTAATTTTTTATACTTGCAACAACAATTTAAGTAAAAATATGAAGAGCTAATAAATGCAAATGTCTGTGTAATACCATACATTTGGTGAAAATATTATAAAGGCATTGCTTTGTGTATTTATAACTCCAAGCACATGTTTCTGCAATAGTATGTATTATTTCAAAAATTGTCCTTAGCTTTTGCTTTGATGATTAGATATTACGCCTAGATAATTGTACTTTAGAATCAAGAGGAATTATAAAGATGATGTATAATGGATTAGAAGCAATGGGTTGTAGAGAACACTTCAGGTATCTTATTATGAGAGATAAGCCTTTGTCTGCATAATCTCTCCACTAATATATTGCTGTAATTATTTCTGTAAATAGGAGCTTCTGTGAAATTCACAGGACACAGGCAGTGCTACCAATGCAGGTGACTGTACACATTCCTAATTTTTCTTGATTTTCTTCATTTAGCATTTTCTTTCTTTGTGCTAATTTATAGTTTCATTTAATAGAAAATTACTAAAATTAATGGTAAGGCATATTTTAGAATATACTATTTGAAAAGTCTATTGATCACTATAAGTAGAGATTTTAACATTTAAAATCTGCAATGAAAAATAGATTGCCATTAAAATACTCCAATGCTTTTCCAACAGTGCTATTGCTAAGTGAACAGTATTATTTTAAGTACATATAGGAAAAGCAGAGCTGTAATAACTTACTCTTTGAGATACTGCAAGGTCAACCTTGACTACTGACTGAATACCTTCCATAGCAAAATAATATTGCAGAGTCAGAGAATTTCAGGACTTCAAACCCAACCCGTCATTTCAAAGATTGGACAACTATATAGTAACGAAGGCCTACAGTAATTAAGGGAGGCAGTCAGGGTCTTGGAGTTAGTTTGCTGTACAGCCACACCCCCTGTGACCAAAGTTCATCTCTTGTCTAGAAAAAGCTCCAGTTCTTCCTGTCCTCTATCTTTTTATCTTTCATGATCACTGGAAAGCGAGCACATTATTTATGTGCACATTGTCGCATTTTTTTAAACCTATATACTGCAGGTGCATGCATATGTTTGGATGGGTTTTATATATAAATACTATACACACATACATACTGTATAGGTATGTGTGTACATGTATAAACAGATGTATGTGAGTTATTAAATAATGAGATGGACTATTTGAGAATATTATATCAGAGTGGACACATTCAAAGGAATATTGTCCTCAGAGCAGTGATAAGGGAGGGTTCAAAATGATTTCAAGGACCCTTCAAAGGATATTTGAGTTAGCCTATGAAATTCTTCTCCAAACAACATGGAATCTGTATGACAGAACTCTCAGTTTACAATGGGCTTTCTCACTTACATTTTTAGCTAAATTACCCCTCATGATGATTCTACAGGTCAAATCCCTGAGGTTCAACAGCAAGCAAGAGCAAGAGGAAGCACCCTGTCCAAGCAACAGAGCTGGGCAGGATTCACTGAATCCAAACCCTGTTTTCTTTTCCTTATGCCAAGCTACCTCTCAGGAAACTTAGAGTCAATATTTTCAAACTGTACCACGTTTTGACCTAGTGTCATTATCTGCCTGCCACACTGAACAAAATTCTATGAATTCTATTACAAAATAAAATTATTTATAAATAAATCCCCACGTGGCTATGTAACTAGTTATTATTATAATAATATGAACCTCGAACACTAACATGGACTACATGACAGGCACCACGGTGTGTGCTAACGTTCTTAGGTTGTAAGTGGGGGGAGATGTTGATAATATCCGGCTGCTGTGCTGTGGGCACCAAGCAGGGTGACGAAAGGCACAGAATCTGGGGTGTGCGGCTGACGCAGGTCCTAGAAGCCCCTTCCACGCCAGGTGTTACTGAGGTTCTACAGCAGAGGGCCAAGTGTGGGCACAGTTGGGGACCTGGTATCTACCATCTCTATTTTAACAAGGGTTAGTGACCCGCGGGAGGTCTAACCCTCCTATATATATGGGGAAGCTGAACTTCATACCAAAGCCAACTTTTCCTCTGTTTCATTTTCCCTGCATCGCTGCCTCTATGGATAGCTGGTATTCGTGGAGACTGACTTTGCGGAAATGAAGATCTAGAAAAGTTGCCAATCCTTAAGACTGTCAAAGTCATAACGCAGAAAGAAAACACAAACACACACATAAACACACACACACACACACACACAACACAAATCAGTTTTGAAGTTGTCTGACTGAATGATAGTAGCACTGTGGGAACAAATTTATGCTGTTCTGAGAAGCCTATGCTGAAGGTAACAGGCTGTTATTTAGTGAATAAGTTTTGTCATGTTCTATATAAAAACACTTTCAAAATCCAGTATAAACATATCTCATAATCACCGCCGTTTAAATGCCTCTAACTGTTCAGAAATGGTGCCAAGAAAATAGATCAGTTATAATAGACAGGCCTTTTGAAAACATTGTTATGTCCTGACTGTTCCATGTTTTTACAGATCTTTTAATTTTTATCAGATATTTCTTTTTAGCTGTGATTTGTACAACCAGGCAGCAATAGCATCATCTTCTCTCTACTGTGCCTCACACTGTGAGTGAATGATCAGATAAAATAGGTTAAGAGAAAAATGGATTGCAACAGAGGTACTTCTGGGAGCCTTTCCATTCGGCTTGGGTAAGCAGGTGGGGAGCCGCTGGCTTACCTCACAGGACAAGCCAGAGTAGCCGGAGGGACAGGCACACTTTTCTATCAGGTGAGCGGGAGGAGTCACTGCTGTCGTGGGTCCTGGCTGGGCCACCTCCATTGAGATTTCAGAAACCCTGGAAACAGCAAGACCATACGTAAGTGATCACCTAGCACACATTCAGCACCACAAGAAGAATCTTCGCAGGTTTTTATCAACCTCAGGTGGGTTCCATGCATCATTTTGTTGTTTTTAATCAACACATAATAATTGTATGCATTTAGGAAGATAACAATGCAATGTCTTGGTAGACATAGCCATTGTGGAAACATTAAATCAAGTAATGCTATGTTGTTCTGAACTTGCTTCAATTTGAGAGGTTTTTATGCCTCGTCTTATTATTGCATCTTTTGCTTTAAAGATTGAGACTACACATTAGCAGAATAGGTACACAAATCGTAAGGAGTTTAGTAAATTGGATGTCTGCTATCCTGGTGAGAAGTTATTATAAAGATTTTTTCCTCACTTTTAAAAATGTGAGTGGCTCCAGGTAGACATGGCCAATTAACTAGACATTTATATTCTTTCAAACAGACAATCCAAGGTCATTCTCCATTAGAATAGCTCCCCTAGTCACTAGTGAAATTGCTTTTAATCTACTACTGTTCCTAATTTTTTCTTCTTAAGCCTCCACATGTCCTTTCAAGAACTTTAGCAAGCCACCTAGAAAACAAAGCTCGAGAATGACCTAATAATATCAAACTCTTTCTGAGGATAAAGAACCCTTTAAATTAATATTTTATTAATCTTGTTAAATAAATCCTCCAAGTAATTTAATTCACCCTTGCTATTGGTGGAAAAGTCCTTATAATTGAAAGAAAATATTCACAGTGCAACTATTGATAGCCTTTTTATTAATTTGAAATTATACGCTAAAAATATATTCAGTCCATAAACTCAGACTATTTCACGACTGACTAACTAGTAACACAAAAATGTTCTGCAAATAAACTCTTAAATAAAACAATGAATAGTTTTGCTTCAATAAAAAGCACCTCCAATAGTTTGAGGACTTGAATCACAAGCTTCTTAACAAGCATAGGTAAGTTTTATTGAATTAGGAACACACGCTCGGTTTCACTAGCATTGTAATTTGCATCCAAAGATCAGCCAGACTTTATGAAATACACATGCAGCTTTAATCCTGATTCCCTGTCCCACCCTTATCCTTTGAGTGAATGGACAGGTAGTGGTCCACAAACCACTCCTCTCTGATAAGGAAGACTCTATCTTTCTGTTTCCCTGGAGTTTGGGACACAAGAAGTTCACCTGGAGTTTGTAGACAAGCTCGCTCCCTTCTGCCACCTGCATGACATTTTATGGCCATAGAAGTGAGTAGCATCATCTCACCATCTTTGTTTTGTACACGTACACACAATAGACCAGCAAGTGTTCAGAAATCAAGTGAAGTTGGAATAGTGGTAACAACATGCACCTCTGGATTCACAGTTTTCCTCAGGGGTCTTGAGAGGGTTTCAGAGGGTAAAGATGAGGAAGGGTGAGAAAGATGGAAGAGCAACAAGAGCAACTGGTCTGCTTGCATCAGAGATATGACTTTTATTTAAATAATTACTGAATCACAGAGGTAAATGGTAAAAGACTAAAGCAAGGACAAAACTTCTGGGATTGATAAAAAAAAATGTGCACAATTTTAAACCACATGTATAACTCTTAACTCTTTGGTTCTGTTTAAAGTTATACAATAGTAGAAAGGTGAGGTTATGCCTAAATCATTTCAGAGGGAGTATTTAAACTTTTAAAAATCTTGGTCATGAATCCACTGACTTATGATACCAACTGCTTATTCATTCTCTTTTTTCATTAATTCTTATTTCTGCTAGACTATGACTCAAGTTTTTAGGGAGCTTAGATATATTTGTTTTCCTCTTAAGTGTCAGAACATGACCACTTAAATGGATTTCATTAGGTAAGATCTGTTAAAGAGTGTGATAAGAGGAGACACTGGGTAACAAGACAAAATGTCACAGTGTAGGAAGGTGAGATTAGTGAGAGGGTCAAGGAGAATATGATGAAAATGAATGAAAACATGGTTTCTATCAGTTCTACTAATAAAATGTTTTTTCTGTAGCTACCAAGTTTCTTGAAGATTGGAACAATTTGCAAAATAATCTATTTGCATATCTATGACAAGCAAATCTGTTTGGGCTTTTACCACATAATGTATATTTGATATCCTACAATAATTAACATTAAAGCAGAGATCACTTTTTCAGTACATGTTTTTATTATTTCATATGAAAATAAACTGTTATAGTAGGGAGTATGACAAGGAATAAGGAAGACAGATTAGAAAGTGAATTTTGGTCTTTGATTTAGTCTCTTACCAAAAATCCCTAGTTTTTCAAATCAAAACAGCAATATGGATGTTCTCCATGAAAAGAAAAGTGTTTTGGTTATATTATGTGCTTAGTGCAGTATAAATATTTGAACGGTAGGATTTTTAGATTAATTAATTCAACCATAAAAGCTTTCATAAATGTTTTTCTTTATTTTCCTGGCCTGGTCTACTAATTTATCATACAACACTCTTTTACCAACATATATTGATTTCATAGACTCACAGAACATAACAAAAACACATGAAAGAGAAACGAATACTCTTGTAGGAACTTCACTCAAATTTCTGCATCAGTTATATGAGACTTATCTATGTGTCCCATTGGGTACATTTTTCCTTCTACTAAAGAAACAGACCATGTGCACTCATTTGCTGAAGTCTTCTGGCTATCTTGTAGGTTATTTTCTCCTTATCTATAATTTTAATAGTTTCTTCATTATAAGTCCTTTCCCTATAATTTATAAACATAATTACTTCTCTCTCTAACAATCATCTTTTAACTTTTGACACTGTGACATTCCTTCTTTCTGTAATTTGTATTCATGGAAAACAATAGCGTATGCTCACAATATCAAGCTCACCGTGTCCCATTCTTTCTTTAAGAGATTATGTCTGCCCCAGGACTCCCCTGAAACTGGTATTAGTAATGTCACTAGGGTGGTCTTAAGTGTCAGTCACGATATGCTTCATTTTAATTGACCTCTTTGGGGTTGTATGAAAACACTGAATATTTCCATGAAATATTTCCATGGCTTGGTTTCCAAAACATGTTACTCTTGAGGGTCTTCTGTGTGATTTTTCCCCATTGTGATTTTCAGTCACCTCATATTATGGTCCATTGTGTGAATGACCATACTGAAGTGAACAGATGAGAACACTCATAGTTGGAAGAGGCTGGACCACCTCTGCCCTGCTGGGTACCCCTGATAACTGAGGGAGGCCACTTCCTCAATAATCTTATAACATGTTTATAGCACAGCAGTTACTTACTTCAAACCCACAGTACATATTTCCCTGAGTTTTTAACTGCCATCTTAAACTCACCATGTCTAAGGTTAATTCAGCATTTTTCCCTCTTTGCTTGTGCTGTTTTTCTTGCTTGGTAAATAGCAGTACTTTCTATCTCGTGACCTGGAAGCCAACCTTGGCTTGTTTTTTGTCATCACACTCTGAAAGCAGTTACTTCCAAATCTTTCTTATCTGATATCTTACTAACCTTGCCTATAGAATCTAGACTAAGACCTAATTTGAATATTTTCTGTCATGGTTTACCTGCTTTGTCGCATAATATTTCCATAGGTAGCCTTGATGAGAATATAGTGGATATCATATAGTGTATCCATGAAGTCTTCACGGCTCACAGTTCTACTGATTCGAGGATCATCACCATAATATTTCCATTCTTTCTGTTAACAAGAAGAGAAACCACTTTGATAAAACTGAACACAAACCGTTGGTATCTCTGCACCCAAACAACTAATAACTTTACCTCTGTCATTTCAATTTCATGCCTTGTCAGTTGGCCATTGAGAGGCGCAGCCATATGCCTGACGATGATTCTAGCACGAGTAGGAGTCCCTCCGCGAATGATGACTTGAGGTTTATATGTTGAGAAGCCTGTCTCTTCCCGAGCTTCAAAATAGATTGCATACTTGAGTTTGCCCCCATAGGCCATCAGCTGGCAAAAGAAAAGAAACAGTGATGATTTAGATAAATCTCAGAATGGTGTGATTCCAAAAATGCATTTCATTTCATTCTTATGTGACTTCAGAATTCTTCTTACCTTCCTTCCTTCAAACTGTTCTGGGAGTTTCCAGTAAAAAGGCTCCAACTGGAGATCCTGTCTCACCAGCTTCATGTCTGCCACAATCTCGGGGGGCTGGGAAGCGATGCCTTTGGTCGTTGTGTGCTGCAGTGCCTCGTCCACCAGGGGCAGAGTGGTCTGCTCTGCCTCCAGAGTCACCTGCATGGAGTCCAAGAATGGCAGAAAGTGAACAGAGCTTCTTGGGCACTCCTTTAAGATGAGGCTACGGACCACACGTCTCTTTGGAGTGTGTCCAACCATCCTGAGGAGGTGTGCTCACAAGAAAGACGGCTGCCACCTAGTAGGTGAGCACAGTGGGGGATAAATCCCTTTAACAAGTTTGCATGATAAAAACCACAATATCTGAACAATATCTTACACTAATAAAAATCAAATTTAAAAGTGAGAGCTAAAGGAAAGTTAAAACAAAAATGAAAGTGTTTCCACTTAAAATTGGATGACCTCCTAGGGCCAGATGGAATATACGCGACACGTTCCGGTTTTCCTTGCTGTGTTCGTATGTATCAACACTCATGCTCTGGTGCCCCCACTCCTCAGAACACAGCTCCTAAAAGATACCTGCAGGGAGTAACATGGCTCAGCAGCTCCTTACTCACCCGCCTATGGATGAGTCCGTTGGCTTCCGAGCACTGACTGGTAGCACCGAAGCAATAGCAGCTGCTGCAGCCATGTGGGTTCTTAGCATCAAGACCGAATTTGTCTGACTGGCACCTGTTGCAGTGGATGCCTTCCACGTTCACCTGACAAGAGAAGGGAGCTTCATGGAGTTCTCAGCAAAGTTAGGGGGAAAATCAACTTCTGAATGAATAAGAGGAGCACATTTCTGCTCTAATTAAAGTGTAGCAAAAGACCACCAAGGTTTGGACTTACAACACTTATTACTAAGGGTACTGGATATTGTTTTTAAACATAAGTGGCACATTTCCTACAATTTTGCTGTAAGCAATATAAAGCCCACATGAGAGTTTAAAAAGCCAAATAAAAATATTGCTAGACAGTGGTACTATACCAAGTTGTAAAAGCACAGGCTAGAGGTTAATAATGTGTATTTATGTGATTATTATAATATAATATATATGCATATGTAGAGCATGTGTGAAATATAAAACCATAATTATAATGTGTGATAATGTGGCATTGCACTCTGTTTTGACTAGGGTTCATGGCAGAAATTATGATTTTCCTAAATCCTCAAAGACTATATTAACAACCACACCCTGGATTCCATCTCTCTTTTTCCTCTGCTCCTCTCTGCATAGATTTTATCTTAAAAATATATTTGGACACAGTTTTAACTGCATTTGTTCTGGGACTGATTGTTTAGCAAAAGTATATAAGAGGGAAAATCCCTCTTGCCCTCTTTAATTGCCTGTTTTTCTACATCATTGAGCAATATTAATGAGGGCTAAAATTTGCACATACTCAGTTTATAATGTCAGTATTTATATGTGATGAAATTGTAGTGAACTTCCATAGCAGTAAATATATTTTTCAGTGTACAGAATTGCAGGTTAATTTTAGGAGAAATGGTTTTTCAGAAGCCCTATTGTTTCGCTGTGATTTTCTCAGAACAGCACTTAAAACAATAGTCTTCTCTGGCCCACTCCCCAGATTTTCTCTTGTTTAACAAAGGAAATATATAAAGAAAAGCAATTTGACTGCACAATTGAAAATATATCTCCTGTTTCCTGCTAGAAAAACAGTTCAGTTTGGGTTGAAAATAAGTTCTTAACTAGTAGAGCTTATTTTATTTGCACGCTTGTGAACATATATCAGTGAAAACTGTGTTGGCAATGAGCTTTTGTTTGTGCAGCCTAATGAAGCAGGAATAATGAACACTGAATGAAGCAAAAACTGAGTAATGGAATTGGAACTGAGTGGGGCTTTGCCTTGCTGCATTTGGGCCACATATACCTTGCACATGCACTGCCCAGTTTGATCGCTACAGGAGCATATTTCAGTCTCTGGGTCACAGGTCGCAGCCTCTGTACCCGGCAGGAAGCAGTCACAGAGAACGCAGTGAGGATAATTCCAGTGACCTTGTTTGCACACGGTACATTTTGCCCCAGAGAACTTTGGACGGCAGTCACACTGGCCTGTGTTTATGTTGCATTGCAAATCCAACGACCCCACTGTGCTGCAGTTACAAGCCTAGGGTGGAAAGAAAAACAACAACCATTACTACAACTTCACAGAAAAGATCTTAAAATTTTAATCCTAATGATGCTAAGCTTCTATTAACCCATATTAATCATGTAACTCTTAAATGCTTTGTACTATTTTAGTTTAGCCTCTTGGGAAATATCAGTGAACATAAACATTAAAATTGCCTCCTGAAATGAAGACAATGGGTGACTATCCAGAAACCATAACGCTATGTGAAGGAGAAAGAAAAGTTTGTATTTTTTCTGTCTTTTCTTGAAAGGGAGGGGTTGGTTATGAATTTTGTTCAAGTACTTTTTGTTTCAAGGGTTAAACTGTAGACAAGCTTATTTGACCTCCTTACTTAATGGAACATTTTAAACTCTATGGAGATATAAGCTATATCTGATGGAGACCAGTAAATGTATAAATATGACGCTATAACATAAGCAAGAAGTGTAAAATGCTGTGAGAAGTGAACCAAAAAGCAGGACTCCACAGGGAGCCTAGAGCAGTGATACCTAGCACCTCAGCTTTTGATGTTTAGTTTCATAGGCTGCCTTGATTTGCAGTGCTTTGCTGGTGACCTTTGATCTTTACCTTACATATGCATACAATTTTCTCTTTACTGATGTAATACAAATTTTTGCTAATTTTTTTTAAAAATCGGAATCTTTTTCTCCTCATGGATTTACTGGAGTATAGAGAGTTCTTTCAGTTAGAAAACATAATTGGTTTTTTTTTATTCATATCTAAAATTGTTTAGATTTGTCTTTGGTTTTATACCTGTTCTGTTTTTATTAATATTATTCTTTAGGATCAACCATAATTCTTTTTTTCACAATTCTTGCAATATACCACTCTTGTCTGCCTACCAAATTTCTAATACTCGAATGTGTTCTCTAATTCTTTTCCTTGCTTTACCTTTCTCACGATGGTTGTGTCTCCATTTGGTTCTCTATTTTATATCTCCTGTTTTAGACTGAAAAAATTATGCCGTAGGTATACCACCAATGCATATTTTAATTACACTATTACAGTTTGCCTGCTTTGGAATAATTTCTTAATTTCATCTTACTCATTTTCAATTTCTGTTCATCTAGCTGTGTTTTCTTTGTTTTATATTCTTCTTTTCAAGATTTCTACTCTTGATTTCCAGAGTTCATATCTTCTTGAAGTTTACGGAAAATACCAAGTGGATTTCTACAGTGTCACTCAGAACCTTGGAGTCTGTCATTTTCTGAGGCCAGCGATAGGCTCCAGGCCACCAAACACATCCTGCAGGGAAACCCATTGACACTGCTCCATGGCCAGGGATGGGATGCTAGGCTTAGTCAATAGGGGGCCTCAGAGGGACTTCACTCGATGTTGCTTCTGAGGATGGTAGCTCTTGTATCCTCCAAAGTGGAGCTCCGGCAGCCGCAGTGGACCAGCCTTCCCCCCAAACTCTGGCACATTTGTTTCTGTTTTGTACCCAGCAGGTTGTCTGTTCAGCTGGTAGCCACATCCTCTTCTAAGACATGGCAATGTCATCCTTCTTGAGATGGGAGAAGGAGGTTGCTCTCTCCTGGTTCTTCGTTGCTTCAAGGCCACACTCTTTTAGCCTACAGGTGGTAGCTGCTCTTTTGCACTTGCAGTTTGAAGTAGCTCTTTAATCCTCTTTTAGTAACTAATAGCTAACTTGAGGCAGTTGACAATTCTTTATATCCCACTTTTCCTGCTTAAATAAACTGCATGGTTCCTGTCTTCCTGGTGGAGCCTGACTTGGTACCTATGTGGGTATGATCTCTCTTTGTGTCTGATTGGCCCTTGCATAGCATTTATACATTATCTGTGGCCTTAATCTTTCTGGAGCTGTCCTGTTGCTCTCCTTGGGGTCAGAGCTCTATGGCAGACACACGTGCAGACCTGAGTCTGGCTCTCACTTCTCTGTTCATGTTATTCTTACGTCCACTGGCACTAGGGGTATCCCTGCTTCTGTTCCTACTAACAGTGACCTACTTCTCAGCTTAGTCTTCCTAGGATATGATGTAAAATCCCTACTTTTTCTTCTACTGTCTCTTACTGTCCAAATGATTGGTGGAAAATCTTAGACTGATAGCAAAACAATCAGGCCTTGGGCAGGGGATCTAGCTCAGTGGTTCCACCACCTGTCCTGCAAGCACAAGGTCCCAAGTTCGATCCCTGGTACCAAAAATAACAAAAAACAAAAAACAAACAAACAAAAAACAATCAGGCCTTATTTTTAGGGTCTTGAAAATTAATTATTTTTCTTCCTGTTCATCGATACATAGTAAAAAGGATGGTGTTAGGGACTGGTACTAGAAGCTCTTTTAAACCCAAAGACCCAAAATGTGATTATTTATTATGTATTGCAAACATGTTCATAGTTTCCCAGGCATGGCATAACCCATTCCTATAAAATGTCCTATACAAAATGAAATTTCCAAATTAAAATGATTTCTTTATTTACTCAAATAATTTTAATTTGTGAATTACATTGAGTATGTTTTGACTCAAAAAAGATGGGCCATAATGAGAAACAAAATTATGTTATGGTATGGAAAACTATAATCACATAATAAATCTTAAAGTATCCAGTGAGAAATCTTTATCTTTAAATAACAAAACATATGAAAATGTCTGCTACCCAATTATTGTGCCAAATGGAAGCACTGATTCTTGAGGAATAGGTGATAATACAAATAGACATTGGGACCTGCTCACTTCAGAAAGTTTATTCAGGAAGCTATCATGAGGAATCAATGAGACCATGAGCTATATGTTTAGATAGCACTATAGCCAACATCAAATTTAAAGCATAATCTGATAGAACATTTACTTAGCAATAGAGGGTTTATTCACTATTCCTCTGCTAGTGAAAAATGATTGGCTTTGTAGTCTACTTCAATAGCACCTCAAATGCTGAGTGTGCTTACACCTTAGTATGCAGAAATTTTCCATGACATGAGTAGATAGAAGGCATAAATCTTAAAATCACTATGCTTTTAAATTATATTCACTCAAGTTTTAAAAAATATTAGAATATATGCTTATACATAAATTATGAAGGTTACATGAACTTAGGGAATTCTTCATAATAGTGAAATGTATTCCTATTCAGAAATTCAGATTTTTAATAATGTTCAATGTAGTCAAAAATTTTTAATCAACTTCAACCAGTGTGAAATAACCACATTTTTGTAGAGACTTACACTGTATTCTATCCTAATTTATTTAAACATTAGGTATCAGCTTTAATTTCAAGAGTTTCATTAGAGTTTGCCCATATCATAGGATTTTGTGGATATAATGAAACCTCAGTTTTCCTATGTTTCTTTCCATGAGTCCAAGTGATAGAGTGGATGCTTGAATCTGAAGTTGAAATGCAAAAGATCAGTCATGGAACGTTAGGGCATTGTTCATATTGCTCATTTTCATTAAAAACACTTGAAATTCTTGGCAAGTTTTTCTCTTGTTTCCTGAAATGTAGCTCTATGAACCTTCAGACTTAATGTCTCAGGCAACAGCAAAATAAGTATCCTGTCTAGTTTTTATGTAATTATTCATATGACTAACTGAAGTCAGATTTCTGAGCTGTCGTAAACAATCACTGGTATTCTTGTTCTCTTTCAAGTCCGAGTACCCCAAGCAAGTGTTCAGATGTTTTGTCATACATGTAAAGATGGCCATAGTCTACAGTAGCATGTGTGCTTTGTAGAAAAAACAATCTACATCTTTACATGGTACTTATCATGGGGCCAAAGAGGCCACACATAGTCATTACATTTCAACATTTTTTTAACTCAGTGTTACTGATTGGAATGACTCCCATCCACATAAACAATGTCTTTATTTATTGCTCTTAAATGTAATGGAAATATCTTGGAGTTAAATCTTACTTGACTCTTGTATTATATTTAACATTGAGGACTGTTCCCTTCTTTGTGAGCAGTCTCTTAGTTTTGTAGCACATATAGGGCTTATTTCCACTGTTTTTAAGCTTACAGACTATAAAACGGAACAAAAAATCAAATAAAAATACTAGCTTTTTCAGACATTGGATAAAAGAAAGCACAGAGCTGTGTGAAAAAACTGAATGAAGCCCAGCACTAGAACTGAGTTGACAGATAAAGCATGGAGTGTGAGGAAGATAAAGGGATGACAATTTATGGGAGTAAACAGAGTAAGTGTCCAAAAAAAATGAAAGAAGTTTGATAGCGAAATAATTCCAGAGAAGTGCAGAAGGGGTCCATGAAGTCGATGGCTGAATACTGATATGTACACATAAGAGATGAAATTCTATGTAGTTGGCGAAAATAAAACATCAAAAAGCCCTAGACCAAGGGCTGGGGATTTAGCTCAGTGGTTCTGGTGCCTGCCTTGCAAGTGCAAGGACCCTAGTTCTGATGCAAAAACAAACAAACAAACAAAAAGCCCTAGACTGCACAGAAATGTTGGAGCAATTTATATTCCTAGCAGTCAGTGTGGAGGGGCACAGCAATGACTTGTAGAGTCATACCTAGTAGTGCAGCTAACTGGTACATAGAATTAAAATCTTTCTTGCACTTTCTCTACTAAAACATAAAAGTAAGATTCAAAGGGATCTAAGTGGTCTATGAGTAGCAAACTGCTTGACAGATAAAGTTCAACACTTCCTAAGGGAATACAACAGGGGTGTGGATGTTGCTCGGTGGAAGGGTACTTGCCTAGCATAGGTGAGGCCTTGGGGTCAATATCACCAATACCACAAAACCTTTTTTTTAAAAAAAGGAATACAATGAAATCTTATTTACAACAAAAAATGCACAATGTCTACTATTCAGTACATTACCAGACATATAAATAATTAAGTAAATACTGCTCATAACTAGGAAAAAAATAAACTAGGAGAAATAATTCTGAAAGAAGTGATAGAATTAGCACTCATCCTAAAAATGTTATTATTTATAAATACTATAAATATTTTCAATGATGAGTGAAGAGTGGAGAATATAATGAAGGGAGAA